AAGAACTGATAGTCGTTCAATTTCATCTTGACTTCCTTGTATTTTCTAGTGTAAGTTTTTTCATCACCAGATTTTATTGTCATTGCTTGTTTAACCGATTTAATACTGTATGTTTCTAACACTTCATCATATGCTAGATAATGTTCTTCATGTGTAAGATTAATAGATGATACTTGATATAATCTTTTTTGAAGTTGAGGGTCTTTATATAACTTTTCTAAAAAAATAGCAACTAATTCTGCATATCTAAATTTATCGGTAATTGGAAAAAGTAGTGCAAATGCAGCAAGATATGCAATTTGCAAATCGAAATCTCCTCTTTGAATTCTGATTTTATGTGCTTTTCAATAACCAGCCCACTGATAGTAATTTAACCAAACTTTCAAAATATTATTAGAACCATTTTTAATATCATCAATAGTTTCTTTCGTATTTTGTAAATGATGGTGAATTGCAATTTTGACTGCTGCCCAGATTAACTCAAAAACTCTACATATTGCACAGTAATCTGAACCTTTCTCTAAATTTGCCAAATATTTAATGCCAAGCTGTGATACCATGTTAAAAATTTTATACCCAGAAAAGGCTATAATTAAGGCTTGGCACATATTTTTTGAAGTGTGCCATTGTCCAAGAATAATGTTCGTAGTAAGATTCTTATTTTCATAATTTCTAAGTCTTTGAAAAATAGCTTCATCACATGCAATATCGATTGTAATAACTCCTGTATTTGCTACATTATTTAAAAACATATCGCATGTCTCATATACATTTTTATTAGAATTCGGTACTGGACCAGGTTTTAAAATTATTACTTTTGGTTTATCAAACTTACACCCTATTTTAACATTTTCAATAACCTTTAAGTGAATATCATTAATATCGAAATTATTTTTCTTTTCCAAAAGCAATTCTTCAAAAATGCGATCATAATTGTTGTTTAAATTTTTCGTAACTGTTGATAACCCGATCATAACTTGGCTTGATTGTTCAGAAAAAAAGATTGAATTGGGTTCTTGCAAGTTTGTAGGAAGTTTAAACTGAAACATAACTCATAAAGTAGCATACGCAGTTTGTTATACAGTATTATAAATATTTCTGTATACAAATATTTTTTCTTTTATATCGATATTATCAATAACTAACAAATTATAAATATTATTTGCAGTTTCAAGTCTAGTAGCAGGATTAGCACTTTCCATATATCATTTTTCTGTATGAACTTCATGGTCCCAAGAATAAGAAACTATACGTGCAGAATGAAGAATCTTATGAAGCTTTGAAAGCATATTTGGACATCTACAAAGTGAGCCTAAGGCACGAGGTAACCAAATTTTCCAATGACAAAAAGCAATACCTATCATGATTGATACTAAAAATATTGTGATTCTGTTAGTTGGTGTTAAATCTAATGGAATTGATGGTAATCCATAGAATTTTCTCTGTCTTTCAGCAATTTCATGTTTTTTTATAAAAAAAACTATAATAAGACTACTAAAAAAAGACTACAGAGTTTTAGGTAATACTGCAGCATATTGTATAAGAGATTGAGGATTTTTCAAGATTGGCAAATTATTTTTAAGTGAAATACGTAATTGCCATAATGATTCTCCAAGAAGATTTCTGTGATATTTATATTCATTTTCTTTTAACGATGCTGCTTTTGCTCTAATGCTTAAATTTATTTTGGCTAATTTGAATACTATTCGAGTTATTAGTAAAGTTGGCATAACTTGTTATTTGGAAGAATCTATTGGTTTATAAATCAAATCTCTCAGCAAATATAGCTTAAGTGACTCAAGTGCTGGTAGCAATGACCAAATAAGTTGTTGTTTTTGTAATTCATTATTTGATTTTGCTACTAACTGAATCCAATTTCCAAATGTTTCTAAAATTTCAGTTAACTCATCATGTTTTTCATCACAGTTCGTTTCTTTAAATCCTTTGCCCAACCTTTTATGTAGGTGACCACTATTAATTTTAAAACATTCTGAGCAAATATATAAGGGTCATGTATTATTTATTGATAAGCTAGAAATTGAGTAACAGGGCTGTAATGCTTCATATGTTCGTAACCCTATACATGCAACTCTAATATTACGTCCACATACTGTCCATGAATGCTTAGAGCAACCTTGGCCACATGTAAAGAAACATTTATATTTGTTACAAAAGATGCATCGAACATGATGAAGAATACTTTGGTCTATTCCTAGTATTTGAATTTTTTTTAGAATGTAGCTGATTTTGATCAAAAAGAAAATACTAATAACAGATACCAAGCTTGTTTAATTTTCTATTCCATTGCTCAACAGCATTACGATCAACTTTCCAAGTACTTTTGAGTTGTGCAAGAGGTCGATTAGAACCACCAATATCAATTCTGTTATATCGTCGTATTTTATTATCATCATTGTCATTATTGATAATGACACAGGGTGTGTATCTATTATCTTCTACAAGCTGATCTGATAAAATTTCGTCTATTCCTTCATCTAACTTATTAAATGTATTTTCTTCTATTTCATCATTAAGATCATAATCTTTGTTATTATCACTATCCAGCTGTAATATTTCGTTTTTAACGTCTTGGTAAGTATCGCTATTGAAATTAAGAATAGGAAAATTTTCTTTTTCATCTGAAGATTTACTATCAGAATCGGTAGAATAGGGATCAAAATAATTAACATTATTGATATCTTCCATAATTGTAAATTATAAAGTTTATGAATTAAATATTATAATAATTTTAATTAAAAAAATTAATTATAATAAAAGTTTAATATTGTGACAAGACTTATTTATATATAATTTTTTATTTGTTATTTACTTATTTATTTACTTATAGAAAATACACTTTTTACTTTAAATAATATTTGATTATTAAATAAACTTTTGTATATACAAATTATTCAATATAAAACCAAGAAAAAAAAATGTAACAAGAGTTATTTATTACAATTAAATAAATTTCCGTTTACATCTTTTCAGAAAAAGTTTAACACAAGTTTACAAAATATCCTTTTAGCATACATCCGACTTATAAAAAATTTTATTTTTTCTCACACGCCATCTCTAACTTGTAAATAATTCACTATTCCTTTCTTTCTACTATTAGTGCATCTAGAATCATCTTCTCAATAACACACTCCTTAAAAAATATTTATTACACGCATATCTAAAGTAGAAAATAAATAATTATTACAAGTTTACAAATACTTTTTCAATACAAATCTCCTCATTAAAAAATTTCTTTTTCTTATATGCCACCCTTAACCCGCAAATAACTTATCATGCCTTCTTTCCCTCTATTGGTGCATCTGGAATCATACCATCTTCTCAATGACATGTCTCTCAAGAAATGTTTACTACAGATGACACTAAATTAGAAATTTTACCATTTCTTATGAAGTGCTAAAAAAGGTAAGTGTAGATTATATTAATCACATCGCATAAAGATTTCTCTAGTAGTACAATTCAGAATTTGAAGGCAATGCTGTAATATAATTTAGGGATGATGACAATATTAACTAACTATAAATAGAAATAAGGACAATGCAAAAAAAAAAAAAAGGATCATAACGTGGTTTTCTAAATAAAAGATATGCATAAAGTCAATAGACAATTCAAAATATAACTTCTTTACAAAGATAATTTCTTAAAATTTTACTTATCTAGCCCAACTCTGTGAACTCGTTTTATGCTATGACAATTATCATGTTTAAGATAACGTCTTATCCTGTACATATTTAACATATTAAAGTGACTGTTATACTTGAATCGCACTATAACCTGATAATTCTTATTATTTAGTCTCCTGCATATTGATACCTCTTAACTATTTCTACTGACTTATACATCATCCCGATAAAACTTGGCATTGCATGGCTAACCATCTTCAGAATAGCAACATTGTGAACAATTCACAATGTAAGTTGATAGCTAATAAAAGGCCTGGTTCTGAATATAAGAGATAGTTTATAAAAAATTAGTTGATAATTAGAATGTATAAATAATTTAAAAAATAAATATTGATGATTGGAATAAATAAAAGGTATGATACATTCTCATTATGTATTTAATCAATTCTATAACAGATCATTCATTCTAGAAAAAAATTTTACTAATTACTATATGAGTGCCACCAAGGAAAAACCTGACTTTGGATTTTTAATTATATTTTGTATACAGTTAGCCGTCTATGGAAAATCTATCATAATTCATAGATTGCTAACTGTACACAAAATATAATTAAAAATCTGAAGTCAGGTTTTCCCTTGGCGGCACTCATATATTCTTCAAAAGCTTGTTATACAACAAACTAATACAAAACTTATAGCTTATTTGCTCTGTTTCGATATTCGGCTTTCGATTTAAACTTTCATTTTGGCGTTATCTATTGTTAAATAAGTTTTAATCTAAAAATATTAGTGTCTGTTTAATAAAATCAACGTTTAAACCAACTTTGATCACTATTTGCTAATGCAAATTGGCATCTAAGAATGTTCCAACTTCACAGGTGAGATTCTTTATTTTGAGTGTTATAAACAGTGTTCAAAGACAGTTATATTATTATTTTTATATATATTTGTGTAATATTAGCTTTATTTTGTATATAAATATACTTATTCAATTGAAAAAAAAATTATAAAATGCATGATTTCATCAATTTTATATGAAAATAATTTTTTTTACTATAATGTAGATCATTTTAAAATCTATATGAAAATCATTTCACCTGATAATCACATGACATATCATCTGACTGTTATAGTTTGAGTTACTTCCTGTACTGTAATAGGTTGAGCTAGTGTTTGATATCAGGATGGGTCTATATTGTATTGTGGTATATATTTTTGTTTCCATTGTTCCTATAGTATAGGATCACTAGGGTTGTGTTTTGTCTAATTTTTAAAATAGTTTCATATATAGTTTCTGATCTCATAAGGGTCTGTAATAATTGAATTTGGTAGTTTGATATTTTGAAATATTACTGTCTCTGTATGTCTGTTAAGAATACTATTGATCATTGTTGTAGTATGAGATGTAAAGTTATCATATCTCTTTTCTATAAACAGGTTAATGTGTTGTGACTCCAATTCCCATGTATGATATAGTGTTTTGCGATATATTTTTATTATATTGATAGTTTGTATAATATTATCACTACTAATATCCTGTAGTGATAGGTTTGTAATAAGGAGATTAGATATTTGCTATATTGTGTAAATTTTTTGGTTAATTACTTGGGGTATAGTATTGTGATTATGCAGGTGATCGTTAGGGTTTTTGTATAGCATTACCAATATATGGAGTATACTTCCACATAAGTTTAGTGCAGTATGTATTTTTGTTGCTTTGGGTGAAAAAGTATTATATTGTTTTTGTGAGCGTTGTGAGAAA